ACCAGGGGAGGCCCAAAACTAAATTTTCAACCACTAGCGAGTCTTTTTCTAAGACAGCAGAAGATGAAGTCAGCACATCTATCATCAGACAAATGTCAATTGTTTCCTTTGTTTCCACAAACAGCTCAGTCTCTCAGTCACTTCTTTTATATCCACAAATAAATACTCCAGAGCAAAGGCAGTCCTGTCGATTGAATACTTCTCTGGATTTCCAGATCTAGGCTAAGCAATTCTTCATTATTTTATTAGTTCTGTCATTTGAAAATAATTAAAAATTTTTTCTCTATTTTCAGCTGTATGTTCTAAAAGAACTTTCCATTATTGAAAATGAAAGAGTATTTTTTGAATACATCTTTCATTTCCCACTTGAGACTTCCCCTGGTTTCTCTTAACTCCCAGATAAACTCAAATTCCTCAATAGCAGCTACCTGGCCCCACCTGCTCTGTTCCTACCCAAACCTCAGATACAAGTTGTCCCACATTGCTCCTCTTTTTTTTTTTAAAGATTTATTTATTTCTACAAGAACCGGGGTTCTTGTACAGGTCAGATGCGCGGGAGGGTGAGAGGATTCACCAGAGACAGAGCGGGGAACAGAGGCAGACTGACGAAATACCCTGCTGAGGGGAGCAGCAGGTGAGACAAGAGAGGTCTGCATTGTCATGTGGGATCCTCACTGGCTGGCCGGGATCGAACCCAAGCTGCAGTGGCTGCAGACAGCTTCACAGTGTGGCACTCAACCGCCTGCACCACCAGGGAGGCCCCACATTACTCCTCTTTCAATAAACTTCTGTCACTCTGCATTCTGTCTGTTCCCACTCAAAGCATTTGTAGTTGCTAATCTATTTGATTAGAACACTATGCTCCCAGCTGTCCACTTGCCTACCTTCTATTTATTCAAGTCTTAGTCCAAACATTACCTTCTCTAAGAGATCTCCTTCACCACCCACATAATGTAGATTCAATCCTAGTCACTCCTCATCACACCACTTTAATTTTTTCTCACTGCATATAATTATCACTATATACCATCAGTTTTCATCCTGAATGTTCTATCTTCTCACTCGAGAATGTCAGTTCCATGAAAAAGGACCCTGGCCTGCTCTATCTTGTTCACCATGTCTTATGTTACCAGACTTTAACAAATGCTGTTTGATATGTTTTTTTTTTTTAATTTACTTTATTTTTTTAAGATTTATTTATTTACACAAGAACTGGGGTACAGGCCAGATGTGCAGGAGGGTGAGAGGATTCACCAGAGACAGAGCGGGGAACAGAACAGGCAGACTGACTGAAATACACTGCTGAGGGGAGTAGTGGGTGAGATAGGAGAGTTCTGCCACGCCATGTGGGTATCTCACAGGCCGGCCAGGTTCAAACCTGCGCAGCAGAGGCTGCAGACAAGTTCACAGGGTTGTGCTCAACCACCTGCGCCACCAGGGAGGCCCTGATATGATTCTCTCTTCAGACATTTTCAAAGTATACAGTGTGGGAGAAGGAGAAGTGGGAAGATGGACTTTATCTTAAGCTAATGTTCACATATGATCTGATGACAGAGCCTGACAGACCAGATGTCAAAAGACTGGAGTTAATTTCCAGTTTCTGTGGGACCAGTGATGAATCATAACACCCCACCCTCACAGTGTTTCAAAATATGTGTTGCTCAGCTTTGTAAACCAGTTCACCAGCTTTATCAATTCCTCCTACTAATCCTCATAATATATGACCCAAAAATGGCAGTGAATTCTAAGAGGACGAAACAAAAACAATGAGCACATGAACCCCAGGGAAAAGCTGTGATCATCCTCATTAACTTGACAGTGAATTTATACAACACACATTGTAAATATTGATTAATAAATAACAAAAATGGAGTAATAGCCTAAGTTGTGTTGGTAGCACTAAAATGTAGATGCTAAAAAGATGGTTCTCAACCTTTTTATGGTTATCACTTAATTTCAGCTACCAGAATTTTGAGAAACCAGTTGAAGAGATTAAGAAGAGTAAGTTAGCAATAAATCAACATATAACAAAGCCTGTGTTGTCAAAAAAGAACTCACAGTTAATGAGTCACAATAAGCGCTCTTCCTCAGGCACTATTCTGCTTGAAGGGAATGCTTGATACTTTCATTGAGCTCAAGGGTGAAATCCAAAAGTTACATCATCTCTGGCCTGTACATTTTCTTTTTCCTTTTTCTTTTGGTATGGGGATAGGGTTTAATTTGTGTTAAGCCATCTTGCTTATGATAAATTATCCCTAAGCCACACCTTATTCCACATACAACTCAGGTCAGGTTCTACTTGACAGGCAATGCCTGTTAACAGAATATTTAGTTGTAGTAAAATAAATTTTATGTATACTTAGAAATTGGGCAACCTATGTCCTGGTAGCCTAATTTCCTTTGTCATCCTGATAGGAGAGTCTCATGACATACTAGTTTAGAAACAAAGTTGAATTTCTTCTTTCCTATTTCAAACATTCATATTCTGTTGTTATCAAGCACACTACTTCTAGGGTGAATCAAAAGCCTGATTCAAGTTGATTGATTTGTATAAAGGTAAGAGGTATGGTTTAAAACAATAAAATATATTAAAGCAAATCAGAAAGGATCTTACATAATCTTAACATGTGTTAAACACACAAAGCCATTAGTTTATTCATGAATTTATTCATTCAGTGACTATGTCTTGAAGATCTCTGTGTGGCAGACTTTTTCCTAATTGTGTGCTAGAGAGATGACTATAAAAAAAAATTCCTTCTTCATGGAGCTTACTTTCCCATGGGAGAGATAGGTAACAAGCAGAAAATGTTTAAAAAACCAAAATTCTCAGGACTTCACATCTGGTATTTCCATCTTGCCTCTGATACACAAGTTTGCCAGTGTGGGGAGTCAGGGGTTTGGAATATTTGAGGGACTGCTGGCTAGAACATAAGGTACGCTGTGTCATCCCCTGAATACATTGCAGCACGTCCATCTCCTGCACAAGCCCTACAGATCACATCAACTACCCAGCCAGTCCAGCTGTAGAGTAAAAAAGAGGACTGATGGGTGTCTCAGCCGTGTAGCCCCTGCCCAAGGAAAGAAAAGTGCTGGAGATGTATGAAGATTTTACTATGTGCTGGGCCCTGTGCTAAGTGCTTTTCATACATTATCCCATTTAATATTTAAAATAACTGAGCAGGGCCCCCCCCCGCCCCCCCCTTCCCCGTGGCGCAGCGGTTGAGCTCTGGGTTGCTAAGCTGCCCGCAGCCTCTGCAGCGCCAGTTCGATCCCCGGCTGCTGGGCGACGGTCCCACATGGCGCGCAGACCTCTCCTGCCGCCCGCTGCTCCCCTCAGCAGTTCGGTCCTTCTGCCTGTTCTGCTCCCCACTCTGACTCTGGTGAATTCTCTCACTCTCCCGCGCTTCTGACTGTACCCAGTGCTTGTATAAATAAACAAATCTTATAAAAAATAAAATAAAGTAACTGAGTAGGGCAACGTCATATTTTTTCACAAAAAAAGTAATTAGGATTTAAAGAAATAATGTCCTAAGTCACATAATTCTTCCAGAATTGTCTGCTTCCAAGCCCAAGCACTTAATTCATCACACTATATTTAAAAAAAAAAAAAAAAAAAAACTACTTTGAAATTAAACATGATATCCACAGGGAAATGTACAGTAGGTTAACAGTGTTGAAGCATAAAAAAAAAAAAAAAAAGATGATAGATGTGGGGTAAAAGTGAATTTCCCAAGAAATCCTGTGCCATAGAACAAAATACATTCTTGCATACTATCTACTAAGAGAAATCAAAAATACTCAGTGAGGGCACTAGTTTGTTAAACGGTGAATTGACATCAAAGGATTACTTAGCAGAAAGGACTGACACCAAATAACATAAAAGTGAGATGCATTTGTTGTATCTTTTGTTCTCAACTAGGTAAAGTGCCACAACCTCAGAGGACTTTTGGAATGAAAGGGGTATTTGGGATGGACTGATAGATTCCATAAGCATTTTGTGGCCAAGATTTTAGGATCCTAAGAGTCCTTCTCACCCAAATGTCAACAGCTTCCTCATATAAGAAACATGAGCCTACCTCCACCTCTTAAGAGATACTCAACAGCCCATAGGAAAGCAGGTATTTGAATATGGTGGCTAGTAGAATAGGTATTAGAATATGGTGGCTAGTAGAATATGGAGTCACGGTTTGACTCCCATTTCAGCCCTAGTACTTGCTATGTCCACAAACAGGTCAAAACCTGCTTGCAAAATGAAGATAAATAATGCTATTAATTCCTCTAAATATTGATCTGAAGAGCACACAAAACTTCAGTCCAATATCTACAAGTTATTCCTTCAAATGTGAATCATGGGTATTTGTATTTGTGTTCAAAAGATAGAAGAGGGATTAACTAGATTTCTAGTTATTCTTTATATATAAGTACAAATTATATATATATATATGGATATATATGTAGAGTGTGTGTGTGTGTATATGTGCAAAAGATGTAAATGGCTTTTATTAATGAGCATACTATGTTCTTCCAAAGCTGTGAGCGCTTCTCGTTAAACTGAGAGTAATGATTTGTTCTTGTGTTTAGATATATGTCAACCTCTAGCACACTATGTGGCATATGGTAGATCCTCGGAAAATTTAAATGAAGTTTTGGTTGCAGAATTTCTGAAAAAGTTATAAAGTTACCATTAAAAGTATGATCAATGATGGTAGTTTAACCAGTATTCTAATATTTAAATTATAAAGTCTACAGAGCTATGTTTTAATTAAAGCAGTCTCTGACATAAAATTTAAGATTCTTGAGTTGATACAAAGTTCAAATAGTATAGGGCAAGCTTAAGTAATTGGTAATGCATTTGCCATAGAAGTGTGTTTACCTATAAGTTACCAAAATATGAAATCAGTATAGCAACCTTAAGACTACCTCAGAATCTATTCAATTCATAATTATTAAAATTCATCACTAATTTCCTAAAAGTTAAAGAATGCACTATAACACAGGTATAGCACAAACACATTTTATTTACTAACCAAAGGGATAAGCCTAATGAAACCAATACTTTGAAATAGTTACATGTAAAATATTTGTGATAAGGAAAATTGAACACAGAAATGAAAAAAAAAAAAACAAAAACCAGCAGTAGGGAGATTTGCTCATTGAACTGAGCTTGTTCATCACTGAAGCTAATTCCTGTCCAAAGTGATGATACAACCTTTTATTCTACTTTTTCATAGACCCGGGTACAGGTGACATTGTTCATGACGCATTCCTAGGGGAAAAAAATGGCATTAAAGAGTTAGGTTGGCCTTGTATCCCAGCAAAGATATAGCAGTAAAATGCTAGGATAAGAGTCCACAAAACCTGTTCATCTAACTTCATAGATGGAGAAAATGTGATTCAAAGATTCCTGAGCTTGAGAAGGTAGAAGCTTTTATTTTGCTTGTAACAGTCACACGTATCACTAAAAACTAAAATACTGATTTGCAATATCTAAATGATTCATTTGCTCTTGACTAGTTTTATTTCTCCTTTTATCAAAATGGAAAAATACATATGAAGAGGATGGACTGCTGGCTTGTTGAAAATTATACTATAAATGAAACAGCAGAACATGCACTAAACAGAACTCCAACTCTGTTCTCTGCTACATAATGCTACCTCTGTGTTCCCCAAAGGATTTTCTAAATAATCAGTGATGCAGTATTTAGCTTACTTTGCATTTCTTCTTCCTAGTTCTGTTCAGAACAGTTAGGTAAACTACAAATGCAAAGGATTCCACTAAGACAAAAAAAAGTTTGGCACTTACCACCACTAATTTCCCATCGTCAAGTTTTCTTGTTATTGTGCTTTCCTTCCCATCCCATTCCTGATGTTGAACCAATGCACCATCCGTAAAGTTGCAGACAGTCTGCAAAAATAAAGTATCATTTTTAATATTCCAAAGTGACATTACAGAAGAGTTTTCCATGACTCATTACCTCTTAGTCAACACTGATCTTCTCCTTTCTAGGTCTACTTCATTAACCCATATGCATTTCATTCAAAGTATAGTTTATGCTTTTCAATCTAGATGCACATAAGAAATGCTCATTCTCACTCATGTTCCTTAAACTATTTTTATAAAACTGTTATGAAAATGGTAATTTCACTAATTTGTCAAAGTTCAATTCACAAAATAACTTGAGACTTCTTCATTAAGTTTTTGCCTGTAAACAGTAAGACTGTTATCAATACAATCTATCATTTTAGAAGTTTCTGTGATCTTTTATAATGCAAGTAATTACTAACTTGAGTTTTTCTGCCATCAGCTGTAGTTTCTTCAAACTTTTCTCCCAGATCACATGAAAACTGTGTTGTTTTCAAAGTGCTCTCAGTTTTGACAGTGATGTGATTGCCATCAACACTGATGACACAATCTGGTTTGGCCATTGCACCCATTTTGCGCAGAGCCATTCCGACACCTGTATAACAGGAAGACCGAAGTTAGATTTGACATAATAAAAGTGGCATTCCCTTGCTGTGTGCATATTTTCACCTACCAATAACTATTGTTAACACATATCTAGTGCTTACCATGTGCTAGCACTTGATATCTATAAATTCATGGAAGCTTTGCTACAACCCTGTGAAACAGTGGCTAGCTTTGTCTCTGTTTTACAGATGAGGAAGTACTTACTCCGGTACTTACACCCATTCTTCACTAGGAAAGTGATGACGCTGGGAACTAACAGTGTAGGCAGTTTGGTTCCATAGCTCAGCTCTTGGCCACCATGCTGCACTGGCCTTCAGATACTTAGGGAAGAAATACAGGACTTCTAAAATGTATTAACTCAATTCTACCAACTACTAGATTATATGACTTTGACACATTGTGTGGCACACACACAAAAAAGGCCCTTGATAAATATTTGAGCAATAAACTACACAAAGTTCTAAATCAATCCTATGATATTAAAATAGCACATTTGCAAGAGTGGATAGCACAATGATACTGCTGCTAAGTGGAAAAAAAAACTTATCTTAAAAAAGCAGAAAACAGGGGCCTCCCTTGTGGCGCAAGGGGTTAAGCGTCAGCACTATGAAGCAATGGCAGAGAGTTCAATCCCCCGGCCAGGGAGGTGACCCACATGTGCAGACTTCCCCTGTCTCACCTGCTGCTTCCCTCAGCAGTGTATTTCAGTACATCTGCCTGTTCTGTTCCCCACTCTGTCGCTGGTGAATCTTCTCACCCCCACCAACCCTCTGGCCTGTACCCAGTTCTTGTATGCATGAATAAATAAATTTTTAAAAAAAACCAGAAAAGTTTATGGCCGTGCAACTCAACTACTATATTGATGCCATATACATTCTAAAATCTGTGTATTTTCCCTTAGTGATAATATTTGGAAGGAAACTTAGATCTAGGCCAAATCCCAGTGTCAAAGATGAAGAGACAACAACCTCAGCAGATAAAAGGCTGATGATGAACACTCAGTCAGGCTTGAAGTGTCTCCTTGGAGCATTCTCTTTTGCCAGCTCAGGGTTGGTGCCGTGTGTTGTTAGTGAGTCATTTATTCTCACTTTGGACAAATAAAGGGCTCTGCTCTTTCCACACCTTGATTGCTCTCTAATGAATTGAGCCTTGACAACCTTCCTGACTCTAGAATCCTGGAAAGAAGCCATCCAGCACCAAGTGTGCTTTCCATGGCAGAGAAACAATATTCTCTATTTGGTCTTCGCACTGGAAAACATACACAAACATGATTTTTGGGATATGAGGGCAGTAAATGGCTTTTTCCAGAGTCATCCGCTATAGGTTTACAACGAAAACAAGAAAAATACTGCCTTATTGTTTTAGTCACAGTATCATAAATAGGCTCAAGATTTACCACAGCCTGCCTTAACCTGTCATTGCCTTGGATAAAGATAATGAAGGAGTATTTCTGAAGTTTTTAATAGACTGACTTTGCAGCAACTTCTGCACCAAAGAGCATTCCATATATGTGGGATTTGTTAACATTTATGGGATGGTGGTCTCCAAAGGACCCTCATATCCCCCACCATTGCCTTAGGGCTGGAAGCCCCCTCTAAAGACAGAATCCGTGCTATGCTGCTCCATCCCACTTCCTAGTGACCTTTGACAAAGATCCTTTGTCTTTCCTATTCTACCCAATGTATTAAACAGCATGTAATTGCCATCACTGGTTTAGGAAAGGAAACTAAGAAAAATCAAGCGCTGTTTTGACTGAAAGCGCGAACCTAAATCTTCTTATAGACTCATTCTCCTTAGGCAGCCTTAAGAACTCAAGCGCTTTCTGCTAGGCCACTCCCACCTTGCCAGCAATTGGAAGGCAGCCCCAGGAGGACCAGCTAGCTGGCAGTTTCTGAAGGCAATTTTCCAACCAACCCCACTCCTTGCTTCTGTGCCCCTCACCCTCATGATGCAGACGCCGGGGCAACCGCGCAAGGCCAGGTCACCCACAGACACAGTCAGTCTCGCCACGTTGCTCCCACAGGCCCCCCGCCCACTGAGGCGCCCAGCGGGACAATGCCAGCAGGTCAGCGCCGCCAGCACCCCGCCTCTGAGGGCCACCCAGGGGCGTGGAGGTGAGGGCGCCCGATGCTCCCGAAGAGCTGTGCCAACCTACAGAGCCGGATGAGGGTGCGCAGAGGACCTGGGGGTGGGGGAGATGGGCTCCAGGCGAAAAGAAAACTGAAGCTGCTCAGATCTAAGGAAAGAGCAGCCATCCCCCTGTACTGCGTACCCCAGAAGAAGAAGGAAGAGGGCCCCAGCGCCACCTAGGAACAAAAGATGCGGCAATGTGGGCGCAGGGTGGGAATGAGGTAGTGGGTGCCCTGCTGGGGCAAATGGGAGAGACAGGATGGTGGCAGGAGGAGAAAGTATGAGATGTGGGGAAGGTAAAACAGTCAAGTGAACGGGACGGCGTGGGGGTAGGAAGAAGTGAAGCTTGGGCTGGGAATCGGAATCGGGTGGGCGCGCTAAAGGTCAGGGAGCAGTAAGGAGTGTTGCTGCCACTTGGGCGAGGGCGCAATAAGTAGTAAGAGAGCGGGGTGGGCCACGAGGCTGAACAACGCGGGGCTCCCGGGCGGCGCGCGGCTCCGGCTCTCGGGGCTCCAAACCCGCGTGGTGCCGCGCGGGCGGCCACCAGGTGCCGCGTGGAGAGGGGGAGGGGAACGCAGGGGTTTGGGGGGGGGGGAAGCGGCCCAGCACGCCCCGCCCTGGAGCCCGGCTCGCAACGAGGACCTGGGGACAGTCTCTCTCTCTCTCACACACACACACACACACACACACACACACACACACTCACACTCACACGCCACGTTGCAGGCGCCGCCGGGCCAAGAGCCTCACCTAGCTCCTTCATGTATTCGTCGAAGCCGGTGCTGCTTACCAATCGCCATCTTCCTACGAGCTGCTGAACGGTGGCCATGGTGGGCGCGGGAGGGCGTGCGGAGCGAGCGGCGCGGGGCCCGGCGAGGGGAGCAGCGTGCGGCCGCCCCGCGAGCGGCTGCGTTATAAAGGCGGCGCGCGCGCCGGGCGGCGCCGGGTGGCCAATGAGAGGCGCGCCCCGCCGGGCCCCCGCCCCGCCCCTCGCGCGCCCCCAGGGCCTCGCCGGCCGGGTCGGGAGGTGCGAACCCGCTCCACCTGCGCGGGGACGCCAGGGCTCCGCGGGCGCCTGCTGCAAGCGGGGACTCGCCCGGCGCGCCCCACGCCGCCCCGGACGCCATCCCTGGCACGTCCCAGCGCCTCCGCACCCCGAGAGCCAGTGGGGGTCGCCGGAGGCTCGGCTCCGCCTTTTCTGGGATCCACCGTTTTACCGCCAGGTCGCCTCCCTTTTTTTTGGCTCAAAATACTCCCAAAGAATCGACTGGCCCTTGCCAGGATCGGGCGACAGGAAATGATTGATTGGCGGTTTGATTGATTCATTGATTGATTGATTGATACGTTTGCCTCTCGAATCCTTGCACTCTCGTCAGCAGATAAACTCACACGCCACACCCCGTCTCTGAGAACCTGTTCTCCTACCTCCAGGCCACCCTGGGGTCGGTATATACTTGAGTTGGGTTAAATGAGTTTATCCCTGGGTGTGGAGTGGAAGGAGGTGTCGCAGCCAGTTCTGTTCTCAACTGAACTAAAACTGAAAAAAGTTTCAATTTCAGTGACTGTCGTTGCTATTAAATGTTTCCATTCAAGAATGTGTTACTAGCCAGAAAGAAAAAGAAAAATACCGGATGGTCTCACTCATAGCAGGAATCTAGAAAACTTAAATAAGGGGCCAGGAAAATGAATAACTATAAGAAAGTGAAAATCAAAATCAACAAAAACGTGAACCAGAGACACTCTGGGGGAGGAGAGGGATTGGGGTCAAAATAGGGGGTTGCAATTGTATGGGGAATATAAAAATAAAATTTATTTAAAAAAAAAAAAAGAATGTGTTACTCGTTTTCAATCCCTGACTGAACCCTGTATTTTTGTGAAAAGGTTTACTTTTGAAAAGGAACATATCCTTTTTAGTTGTACTTTTCCCCAGGATCTTAGTGTTCAAGCCTCCCTGTGGGGGTGAGTTGGGGTGAGGAGAGAAAGCCTACAGGCGACGCCTACTGCCTTGATTGAGATAATGCTCATTTTTATTGAGTGTCTACTCAGGCTAGATGTTGTGCTTCCTGGGCATTTTATATGTCCATTAGCTCTCATCTCCACTAAATTTTTTTTGTCCACTAAATTTTTGCTGGAGTATTCTTTTTTGAAAGAGGAAATAAAGGAAGGAAAGTTTGTGAAATGGCAGAGCCAGAATCACCACCTCAAGATCTTGTGAAATAGGACCGGCCCTGGTTGACTCTAGGTCACTGTACTCATCCCTAAACCTACCAAGACACTAGATCTTGTTTAATACTGAAAACTGAAATCTGCAGTTGGTTTGTAATCTCCCAGCATGCATCAGGACTTTTTCCCCCCCAAGGTTTAGTTTATTTATTTATGCATACAAAAAACTGGGGTGTAGGCTAGAGATGCAGGGGACAGGAGATGAGAGGATTCACCAGAGACAGAGTGAGGGGCAGAACAGGCAGATCTACTGAAATACACTGCTGAGGGGAGCATTGGGGAGACAGGAGAGGTCTGCCAGGTATGGGGGAGCAAACTCTTGCCTTAGTGGCTGGTATTAGCTTAATAAAGCTGAGACTTTAACACGTGTGCCACCAAGGAGGCTCCTGTATCAGGACATTTACTTCCCTTCACTATATCTTTTTCAAGTCCCTGCCCTAATTTTAGGATCACAACCTCTCTCTCCTTCCCCTTCCTTGTGGTACTGTTAACGGCATTCTGGGATGCCCTTCTCCCTGCCCTGCAACAGTACCATTTTAATACTGAGCATCTCAGGACTTATAGTAGTGCTCCTAAGGGCCTGCATGTCTCATCCCTGAGGCTCTACTGCTAGAAAACATTTATGCTCTGAGCTGGTGGGGGGCTGTCCTCCGTGATGTAAAAGCTGGCTTCCCAAGGTCAGGGCAGCCACTGTCCCTGCCTCCCAGAGAGCCAGCTCCTGTGTATTTGGACTTGAGTTCTAAATGTGCTAATTCGTGTTTTATCTACTTTTGTATAGAATATGGTAACAACCAGGACTCAGTACTGGAATACTAATTTTTAGATTTTCGTTATCAAGCATGTTACAGAAATATCAAAAAAGAATGGCACTACAGTATTAAATATCTAAGTACTTGAGAAATAGCTTTGAAACTTCAGGTGTTACCTAAAACTTAACTTGTAAAACAACCTTTGATGTGAGTAGAAATAATACACCATTCAAACAAACAAAACAGAGATGTAGGCTAAAATACCTATTAGCGTCTCCTATGGAACAGAGAAGAGTATGGGCAACACACCTAATCTCCTGTTCTCAGATGCCTTGTGTGTGTGTGTGTGTGTGTGTGTGTGTGTGTAACTTGATTTCAAGTTCCAAAAAACATGAAGTATTCCTTTAACCTGCTAACAAAATTCTTGTTCTAGGCTACTTAAATTGAACCCCCCATAAAATGTACAAACAAAAAAATGTGAAAGCAAATATGATCGAATTATTATATGACTATGGGATGCTTGCGTATTTCTTCATTGGAAAAAGGGAAGAAAATGATCACTTGATTGAGGTTAATTACATGAATCCCTTGTGCAGGAAACAAAGAAACATTAGTTTAATCCCACACTATGGTGACAAACAGAAATTGGCTGATCATCAGTTTTAAAGATTTATTTATTTTTATTTATTTATATATATAAGAACAGGAGTGTAGGCCAGAGGGGGGGAAGGGTGGGTGGAGGCATGGGCGGTGGTGAGAGGATTCACCAGAGACAGAGTAGGGAACAGAACAGTCAGATCTACTGAAATACACCACTGAGAGGAGCTGTGGGCTAGACAGGAGAGGTCTGCCATGTGGATTAGCTCCCTGACTAAGGATCTAACTCATGCTGCAGTGGCTGGCAATGGCTTGATAGCAATGAGGACTTTAACCCCTGTGCCACCAGGGAGGCCCTCATTAGTTTTATAGTAGCACAGAGACAACATAGGTGTTTTCATTCATGTTGGAGAATACTAGCACTTAGTTATTCTTATAAATACAAATGATTGAGGACCTTCCTGGTGGTGCAAGGGGTTAAGCACAGTACTGTGAAGCTATGGGTAGCCTCTGCAGCACAAGAGTTGGATCCCCACATGGCACAGCAGACCTCTCCTGTCTTGCCCACTACTCCCCTCAGCAGGGTATTTCAGTCAGTCTGCCTGTTCTGCTCCCCATTCTGTCTCTGGTGACTCCGCTCACCACCCGCAACTCTGGCCTGTACCCCAGTTCTTGTATGCATAAATAAATATTTAAAACAATAAATACAGATGATTGAATAATCAAGTATTCAAGAATTGCTTGCAACTCTTCTCTAATCAACTCGCGACGACTAACTTTTGTAAGAGAGATGCAATTTTACTTACTATCTCTGAGCCTCAGTTTTCTCATCTATAAATTTAAGGCTTAAAAATTAAACTAAAAGATGTTTTAGGTCCCTTTCAGCTTATGAAGTACTCTTGCAGCAGTTCATCACCCTGAAAAACATTCAAAATTGCTCTATTTCCACCTAGTGGCAAAACATAACATTTCTCTTAGTTTTCTTTTGATAAATGTTAGTAGTTTGTCAGCTTCACATTTCCCAGTGATAAACATAATTTGGGTGTATACTGTATGATTTTACTTAAAAACAACTTCCCAGCTACAATTTGTATAGCTAAATGTGCCTTCTATAAGATTGATTATAAAATACAATCGGTTCCAGAAGACAGCAAGCAATGGTGACCTAGACTTATGTACCACATATAGAAATACACATTAAAAAAATCATAACAGAGACTACACAAAGCACTTCGTGTTCACACAGCTTTGAACGTGAGTCTTAGCTAGGTACATGACAAGTTAATTTTAAAAAGAGGGGCGGAGCAAAGTGATCACCTCAAATTTTATGTATGCATTACCTGGAAGTCTTGCTAGAATGGAAATTCTAATTCAAAGTTCCATGGTAGGGTTAAGGGTCATGCATTTCTAATAAGCTCCCAGGTGATGCCAGCGCTTCCGGCCTGGGGACTGTGCTCTGAGTATCAAACTGTCAATTATGCAAGAATATGCACATGGTTTCACTTCAGTGCATAAGTACTTTCAGATTATAGCTCTATAAAAATATAAAGAAAAGACAGGAAGTTAAATAAAACCACTCTCAAAAGTATCTTACTCAACTTTCTGACTTTTTCTAATTAGCTTGAAGCTATTTTTAACTCTCCACTCACAAGGAAGTGTAGTACATTTCAAAAAAACTAGGTGGGGAAGACGAATAAGATATTTACTTAAACCTAGTCTCTCCCTTACATTTCATAACCAGTTTTGTTTACCCTAACTCTTTCCAGCTTATCTTGGTTTAACTATAATTTGCATAGTCAGCTTAAAACCAGAGCTTCCTAAAGAAAATCCATTTGGAATCAGTTCCAAAAGAATATCCTAATAAAGTAGAAGTTAGATCTGCATCCTGTCAGTTGCCCATAGCAGCAAAAATTCCCAGATGACAATAAAGGCAGGGAGCTAAGGAGCTTAAGACACACTGGGCATATTGAGTTTTAAATCCTTCAATGCATCCAGCTACAACAGGAATTGGCAATAATTACCAACCATCAATGAAAAGTTGTTACATTTCATTTTTGGCAAAAAGGTTATTTCTCATTAAAGCACTTAGAACAATGGAATTATTTTATGAAATTTGTCCTCTTAAAGCAGCTTAGTCTTATTCAACATGACTGCAAACGCTAACTGCAGAAATTTTCCAGTTGCCTAAATAATCCATTTTAAATATTTATTTGCTAATTTAACTGGACTAGAGGAGAGCTACTGGGAAAAGGAGACTTTGCAAAAATTACACTAATAAATAAGTCTGAGGCATGAAGTCTCATCTCAGTATAAAA